CCAGAGGACACATCCCAGAAGTGTGGGGGGTGTGAGGGGGTGGCCAGGCCTCACAGAGCAAAGGAGCTGCTTTTGGGGGTAAAGAAGCGCTTCCAGATCTCTGCTGGGGATACCCAGCTGGCTGTAAGTCACAGTGCATGTTTCTGTATGTGCACAGCCTCGCAGGGCAGCCCAGTGCTCAACACTGGGGCCTCCGGCAAGATTGTGGGGGAAACTGGGAAGGCTGCTGACAATGGCGATAGGCCCTGTTCAAGAACATTGCTGTCACCGTCATTTCTTTTAATCTGTATTTTAAACAAAGTAGCTACAGAGAGGACTGGGACCAGGCCTTCAGCATCTCCTGCTTCCCAGTGGCCAAGCGAATCCTGGGGGGGACCAGTGCCGTGCAGCCCCAGTAGTAAGATGGAAAATTGGGAAATGAGCTCAGGATTACCTGCTCAGGATCCCTGTGAGGATCCCAAACTTCCAGGATCTGGCCTTCCCAAGATATTCCCCTGCTCTCTGCCTTGGCCATCCAGATCCTCCACTGGCAGCGATGATGCTGTGTGAGCCTGGAGGGCTCTCAACCACCAGGAGGGTCAAGAGACCCTGACAGTGTGAAGACAAGATGTTTTTCACCTGGTGTCTGCTGAATTAGCAGCTCTCCATCACTGAGAGGGACCAGTCTCATCCTTACCTCCCCTGCCCTGGAGTGCAATTCCCAACTGCCCTCCCAGTAGCTCTGCCATTTGTCTGATCATGAGAAAAGCTAGTTTGACTCACCAATAAAGAAGCATTTAGTTTGTATTTCCTGATTACCATTTTTCTGCCACTATAGTGAATTAAAACAGTTCACCGTGCTAGCAAACAAGCATCAGAGCTGGCACAAGGTGAGAAGAGGAAGTATGTGGCTGGTAAAGACAGGAGAGGGGATGCAGCTCTCCTTTTCAGCAGCACAAGGGATAAATTCAGCTCAACCTGTAATGTCAACCCTTAGCCTGACTGTTCTGGTTTCTCTGCAGACAAGACTCTCTCTCTGGTCATCCCCTCCACACATGCAGCCTTGCACATCTCCTTAGTACCAGGTAATGGGTACTGTCCTGCTCCAGCCATACAGTGAACATAATTCATACTATGTGGTCTTGGACTCTTTTCTTTTGCATGACTTTAGGACAATGTCCCTTTGTCCTAAAAAAACCCCTTTGCCCATAGGCTGCAGGAAGCCATCCTGCCCCCAGATCCCCGAGGCCACTGTACACCAAGCCCTTTAGCTGAGATGCTGGCGCCCTGTGCAAGACATGCTGCCATCATGGATAAGCTGGGATGGAGAGGCTGAGCTGAACCACTGGGATGTTTCTGGGTGAAGGGGTCCCTGTCTCCCTCTCACGAGCTCTTATGCTATCAAATGTTGTCTGTGTGCTCACCACTGTGAAATACACCTGCAGTAAAGGCTGCTGCTGCTGCCAAGATCTTGCAGGACAAAGGGAATAACAAAAGGTTCCTCCACCAGTGCTCTCCCCTCTTTTCTCTTCCCTCCCTTTTTGCTGCAACTTGGAAAGAATGAAGTCAAGGGACTGCCAAAGCAGAGGAAAACTAGGCCAAGCACACACAGATGGCAAGCCCACAAATTTAATTTAAAATCATCCTTTATTATTCAAAATATTAAAATTCAGGCAATAATGCCCAGAGGAACCGCACTGATTAAAGCTCCCTAATGTTTCATGGCCAAATCTTGCTGCTTCCTCCAAGGGTCACTAGGACAAGAAGTGAAACCCCTCTGGAGTGCAGAGAGAGGTAGGGCTGTACCTGCTGTAGATCACTTAACCAAACAGTCACTTGCTGACCCAATCAGCTTCACTTAAAGCAAAGCACCAGCTGTTCCTTACCCAATTAATGACTGCCACAGCAAATTAACATGGCGTTACACCAGGCGTGGATGTGGTCCGCAGAGTCCAGAATGCACAGAGCAATATGCTATTGCAAAAATAATCACAGTAATATCTTTACCGTTTGATAGCATACTTCATCTGGAAGGATGGTGAGGTCCCTGTGCACTATATAGCTTGCTTCATGCAACATACTCTGCTGTGAGGGTGCGGAGGGCAGGAAGGGTGGTATATGATTGCTGTTTCAAGGGGAAAGTAAAGAGGAGCTGGTCAGGGCAGCTCTGCTGTGGCAGAGACAGCGCTGACCACACACGTCTGGCTCCTGCTTCCTGCAATCCAAACAAATCATTATTTAATTGGTTGTAAATCTGCTGAACTCGAAGTGTGCCTTCCCTCTGCCTTATACCCCCCAGACTTCTCTAATGACTCTTCTGCTGTGTGATGTGACACCCTGATGGCATAGGGCTGTAGCAGGGATCTGGTGGGTGTCGCAGCTCGGTGTGCTGGCCATTCTCCTGCTCTGGGGCCACAGCGGACCCAGCAAGCTGGTGGATGCAGAGCTGGCCATCCAGCTGCAGTGAGCATCCCGTGGTGGGAAGAGGCTACAAGGCTGGGCTGCAGATGCAGGAATCCAGGTGAGGTTCACATGGTGAGGCATTACTTCCATGCTCAGTGCTGCCGGGCCAAGTGCTGCCTCTCTGAGTCCTTCCTTGGTCTCTCTGGGCTGTGGTGCAGGTTCTTGCCCTGTCCCTCTGCAGTTGTCCTGCATATGGGATCCCAATGGCAGTGTAGCAGAATAACCGAGCCACTGTCTTCTTCCACCAAGGTTAAGTCCAGCACCTAAACATTCATTAGTTTTGGCTCCACTTTGTTCATGCTTTTTATGACCCAGAGATGTTAATCCCCTATAAGTTACAGTCCAGACAGATCAATTGGCCTAGAGGGCTTTGGGACAGTGGTCTCTAGTGCTGAAACATTACACTTTTCAATTTTCCTACAATTAGGCCAGCATCAGGTATTATTGACAAATAAACCATGCAATCAAAGCCTTGAGCCTGTCACACTGCTATGAAGAGGATCCATTTACATCCCAGCCAACTGCAGGGTGCCCAGAGGGAGGAGACGCAGGAGAGCCATGCCTCAAGTGCTGGCGGCCCCTGGTTGCCTGCAGTACTGTTACAGGAGCTGTCCCTTTGTAATTATAGGACTCCCTCATTATAATTACTGTTATTTATGTAATTGTTGTAAGTGTTTTCAGTGCTGTCAGCAGTCTGGAAAATGCCCAGCCCCATTACAGCCAAGCATTTCAGGCGCTTCACTACTAAGAATCTGGGCTTAAAGTATGATGACCAAGAGTGTGGCTGGGCCAGTCCAAGAATAGGAGCCCATGTCCTGGTGACCTGAAAGCTTTCTCTGGAAGATTTCTATGCCTTGGGATTGTAGAGGGAGGACATAAGGTGCCTCCTTCTCTCAAGCCACTGCTCTGGGAGCATAGCTCATCCCAGCATCATACCCTGAATGGACTGACATTCCCTGTCATCTCTGCTGTGCTGTTAGCCGGAGGAGACGCTCCTGGCACCGGGTCATGAGACACCACCTAGGTCATGTATCCCTGCAAGGAATCCAGTAATGGGCATATTCTCTGCATCATTTTCTCTTTGATTATCTTGTTTAAAAATCTGGAAGAGATGGGGTGTTTAGAGAAAATGAGGGAAGGGGCTGGTGCACAGGAGACACTGGGTTCATACCTGTGACTTGAAGCTTCACTTTATAGGTCAAACACAGGAACAAAAAGAATGGATTTAAGCCGCATTTCAGCAAGCAAGTGCTGATGTTTGTGCCTGGCTCCTTTGCATCTAAATAGGAAGAAATTCAGGGTATCTCGCTTAAGATGCAGAGTCAAATATATAAATGTAGCAAGGAAAAGAATCTGAGTGTTTTACTGGATGACAAACTGCATAGCAATCAGTGTTGTGTTTGTTATAGAGAATGGAAAAAGTTATCGGGGTCTTATAATTAGTAGAAAAGACACAGGAGGTAATTCCTCTCTGCTGCTCCATGCAAGGTGGTTTCAGCTTTTGGGCACATTGTGAAAAATGTAGGAAAACTCGAAAAAGATTAGACAAATTTAACAAACCCGAGATGATTAAAAGTCATGGCTGCCAAAGAGTGAGCTCGTCTTGTTTGGTCTGCAACACAGAAGATTAAAGAGTTGGGGGGGATATGGTAAATACTCTCCAGTCTATGTGCTGTTAAAGGGATGCTGATCAATTCGGTTTTTGTTTGCTGTGTGGTACAGCAAAGAGAACTTGGCCCAATTTTCAGGGAAAACTGATTTAGAAACATTATTAGAGAAAAAACTAAGCGCAAGGGGACCGAAGCACCAAGGGAGGCTGTTTATGTGAGGGGTTTCCTTTATGGGATGGATTTGAACAAACGTCCCTCAAGAATGATGTAAGTCTACTTGATCCATTCCAGTGGTGCAAATTTCCCCGTTTCACATCCCCTGCCAAGGGGCAGCGACGGCCCCTTCGGACCGACCTTCTCTCTGGACGGAAGTCACCAGGCATTTTTGGTACTTGTTCTGCACACACATGAGATTAATTTCAGATAGTGTACCAGTAACAACTGACCTGAAAATCGACAGCGCACCGGCATGGAGCGCAGCTGGAGCAAAACAAGGGTGCAGCCGAGCTCTCGTGGGCGCCGCGGGTGCCCCGGCACCCCGCCATTAGCCACATGCGAGATGCTAATGGCAGAGACCGCAGGGCTGTGACTTGGGAACCAGCCTTACACCTCACCAGGGAAGGTCTGGGGCTGGAAATGGCCCACATGGCCCCTACGGAGAGGGGCTTCCCTCCCTCCCGCGCCCCGAGCAGGGATCCCCCACCCCCCAGCAACAACCCCTGCCCTCAAGTTACACCGTCACAGCCCCGCACTACTACAACTCCCGTCGGCCCCCTCTCCCGCAGACAACGCATGCGCCAGCCGGCTCCCGGCGTGCCCCCCGCCACAAGGCCTTTTGGGCTTTGTAGTTCTGGGCCGCTGCTCGGGCCCTTGCCGGTAGCGCGGTCGGGGACTCCATTTCCCGTGGGCCTGCGGACGGCGCATGCGCCATCCGGGCAGCGGGGCGAGGTGGAGGTGGAGGTGGGGGGGACGCGGGGCAGCGCAGGTTCCTGTCTGCGCTGGCTGCGGCCTGGCACTGAGAGGAGGGGCGGCCCCGGCCCCGGCCTCGGCGCAGGACTATGGACCCGGCCGAGGCCGTGCTGCAGGAAAAGGCCCTCAAGTTCATGGTGAGGCGCCGCCGCGGCGGCGGGCACCTGTGCGTGCGTGTGCGTGTGTGTGTGTGTGGAGGGGCAGCTGGGGGGAGGGGCGAGGGATGAGGAGGGGCTGTGGGGGAGGG